CAGACGCTTGCGAAAGCATATGGAACACTACGGAGTCCAAGGTTTCTAGTTATTCCGTCAAGCAAAATAAATGTGCACACAGATTGAAGTCTGGCTTCAAATGCCTCCATAAACTTCGCTATGAATGGAGGGAAGGGCTGTTGATGTAGCGTTACGGAGGCGTAACAAGGGAAAGAGGGGGTGTTGGACAACTTAACTTTACGTTCAGGTGTTGTTGCAAATCGTGATAGCATCTTTGAAAAGGAATTAAAGCCTAATAGCCAAATACTATTTGGGTCTTCGCCTGGCAAGAAACATGGCTATTATTTGTTTCGAGTTTCATTTAGGGCCTCAACGAACCATTTTGGGATGTTACGTTTAACGCAGCGTAAACGGGGTACGGGGTGCGCAGCGTTATCAGTGCGGAACCAGGAGAGACAGGCAAGGTAAAGAAATAGCACGGAATGTATAAGGTAATGCATGAGCATTCCCTTACCATGCCCATCCATTATAACGGACACGGGGAGCGTTTAAAGGAGCTGCGGATTTAAATGTATTTTCCCCAGAGCGTGGCAAAAATGGCGACTTACGCATTCTGTAAACACGACCACATGCCGATCGGTGGAGATACTAACCGTTCTGAAGAAGCTTGCTGTTTGCGGCGCATTAGTAGTTCTATTTTAGGATACATAATGGGACTTAGAAATTACAAGGTGTCACCTAAAACTTGCTAATGATCGTGAAAACGAAGGTAAAGATTATTACCCGCGGCATGCCAATTTTTTAATAATTTCTATGGGCAGCTTGAGTACTCACTTGCCTTAAATAGAAATCGCATTTTATTCTCGAGCATACAGCCGCATACGCAAGCATACACAACTTCTATGAGCTTGACATCTAGTTCGGCCAACGTCGGCCAACCTTCCTGCAACACAAAGGTCACCATCGCTGCAAGGACCATCGCTGTCCTTGCTCGCGAGATTTTGGGCGAGCAGGCCCAAGCCTTTTGGCGTAAGTTGTTCCACTCATCGATGCTGCAAAAGAGTGAAAGTTCTCATGCAAACATGGAACGACAATGTTGGTTTTTAAACGCAGGTCGACCCACTCTTTTCAACACTGATGAGGCCCAATATTTCCGGGCAAGGGTTTTTTGAGTAGAGCACTACGGGGCACATTTTTGTTCCCGGTCAGGACCTGAAGGGCCGTCCCACCGCGGGGTGTCTTCCGCCTGCCATTCTGACGATATGGTGCGGGACCCCCGTTCGGTGCGGAGGCCCTTAAAGGCATACATCATATCACATGGGTCTCTTCCCGACGCGGAAAGCTTTCGGGCTTCGGTTTAACGGGTTCATGCTAGAACTGGGCTGGAGGACCCGCCGTCCGGTATTGCTGGCTTCGCCTGGCACAGGACCCTTCCATTGTCTGAACGTGAACACTCATCATAAGCTTTAATATTTCTCTTTTTGTCAGAGGGCCCCGTCCAACGCAAGAAGTCCTCTGTCATTCGAGGTCCCGTCCCTGTCTATGTTGATCAATGTTAGGCACTGGGCCCCTGACCGATGCAGAAGCCCAGCATTGTTGCAGCGGGCCTGGTCAATGCGAATCACCTACATGGCCTTGTCTCTACTAGCGAAATAGGCGCTTAAAGTTTTGACTGACAGTGAGCTCACTGTTCGGCCGACCGATACACCGGCATTGTCTCAGGGTCTTCAAACGGTGCAGAAGACCTCTGACTGATATTTTAGGTAACGGCCCTTCGGGTCGCAATTTCTTACGTGTCCAACAGCCAACCCTTCTGGCCTTCATGCACTCAAATGAGCCCTTAATCGTTGGTTCCGCTGGCCCCCCGGGGCCCTCTTCGGACCTCATGGAGCACTGCCCTTGGTCGGCTCGGGATCCCTTGCAAACACAGGACCCTCTTTTATGCACTGCGGGCCCCTTTCAGATATAATGGCTTCGACCAATGTAAATCGCTGGCTCCGGCTTTGTACCTGATTGGGAAGTTGATCCCCCCCCCCGGCCCATATGGACACGGAGCTGACTATGCGCTGCTGATGGTGCCTGACCGACATATAGGCCCATATCGATACGGCGTCCCCGATAGACAAAGAGGTCCGTCTGACTGTCACATCAGGACCATCCCTGCAGGCTGGAGCCCCTGAATGAGACCCGACCAGCACTTCGTGTCATTTAGCTCTCCAACCGGGCCCTTGATCGCCGGTCCCGGTGGGCCCTCCAGGCTCTTCAAGCCTCCTCAAACACTGCCTCTGGATGATTCGGGCTCCTTGCCAACACAGGACCCCATGTGAGGCACTGTGGAACCCCTGACAGACGCTGGGGCCCCGAACAATGTAAATCTCTGGCTCCTGCTTTGTTCCTGATTGGGCAATGGGCCACCAGGCCGTGCCGACACGGTGCCGTCTATGCTTAACTGGAGGTGTCTGACCGACATATAGGCCCTTATCGACTCAGGGGCCCCTGATTAGCACACATGACGCTCTGGATGACATTAAAGTTCCTGGCCCGCAGGGCCGGCCCCTCAACACAACCTCCGGTCGGCTTTTCGGGCCCTTTAAGCCCTCAAATCAGGCTTCAGCCGCAGATCCCGAAAGGCCCGTCGGGCCTCTCGGGATCCTAAGGGGGGTGCACATGCCCCCGTGGCTCCTCCTGCCGGTGCTACTGGCAGCGATCAAGGGAAATACAAAAATAGTCGAGTCGTTCATATCTGGCGTTCGTGAGCACGATTTCCAGAGATAACGGCGGTCAATTAGACCTCAATCAATGCTGTGCGAGGTACGATGGCGTAAGTAGGAAAACCTTGACGCATTGAGTCTCGTCATATATGATGCCTGCTTGAATGACTTCAAAGTTGGAACATTCCCTTCAACGTAACGTAACGTTCTAAATTGGAGCAATTTTAAGATGCGATGGCAAGAGGATGTCATCAAAGGATAATGTAAGATAATGTAACCCCACTTTCAAAGTTTTTAAGTGCCTTCCAGACATCCTTTCACCCAGGATTTGAGGATATATTTTTGATGTGAGATCAAAACGCCTATTCGGTGTCCTCCCGAGACGTTCAAGACGTGCTTTGCATACCAGGACGTAATTTTATGTGGTTGGAAGGTATATGGTTGTCTCGTAAACGTCATTTCGTCGGACGTCAAATGACAGACAGACCTATAATAACTACGCGTGACACTCACTGGCCCACTTTCACTTTTTAAGGAAAACCAAGTGCTGGTGCAGCATTATATGCAGCATTTGCAATGAACGCAGGCGATGGTGGTATAGTGGTGAGCATAGCTGCCTTCCAAGCAGTTGACCCGGGTTCGATTCCCGGCCATCGCACGCCTGGTTTTGATCCGAGAGGAGGCATCCAGTCCCACACACGGCACGCGCACAGCGCGAAGCCAAGCACGCTGCTCCTTCGCCAGTGGCTATCGCGTGAGCGGTGAGAGTGAGGCGAGTAGTCAGCAGATCATCATCCCGACACCACCATAGTGCTGGTGTTCTAGATATCGCCTACGCCGTTAGTCAAAACTGTTCCATCGCAATTTTTTCTTGCAACTAACACACTTCGCACACAATCCTTCCTACCGGAATGTGGCCGTTCCTCCCGCTCGATAACGGGAAAGCGGAACTCGACGCCGGGACAAGGCGTCCTCTAGTGACCTCCTCGGAGACAGCCATATGTGGGGCATTGGTAAGGAAGCCAAGATAAAACTTCACTTAAGTTTTTCGCATCAGGGGCACGTGTGTTTATCGCACAATCACGAGTATTTTGGCATTAGACTGGCAATTCAGTCGCAAAACACGATTAGCGACAGTGACAGTCATCAGTGATTCCGTATCCAACAAATCGGGACAACGGAATACATCCCTGAGTTCTGATGAACCCTGAATGCTGAATGCGAGATACAATGGGCTCCTGGCTGCAAGCCATCCAAACCTGCTACAGATGTTCAATCTTCCGTTCGATCAAATATCCGTGCGTTCGATCTTGTTGACCGTGACCTGTCCATCTCAAGTATCAAGGCAGTGTTGAAATCCTTAAAGGTCACCAGCTTGTGTACAGGGATGTGGTCCCTTGAGGTAACCCCACCGCACACAGTCCAGGGATGACAAGTTGGGCCAGTGAGAAGCCCACACTATGGCTGACGTGGCCTTCCGAAAACAATATTCTCCAACCAGTCTAGTAAGACTCGTAGCGTGTGCGGTGTCTCGCTGTCCTGTAGTAGCCATATTTGTCCTGATCGATCCCGTGAAGTTGTCCCACGACCCCCAAAAGGCATCAGAACGGTAGCGATATAGTGCTTCGATGTGGTGTTGACGGGTTCTCGTTCACCCCTGAAAAAAATATTGCGCGGAGCCAAAACTGACGAGTATGAAACCACGAATGGTTAGCCTTGTTTTTGTCATGTTTTCCTTTGCGGGCAATGAAATCCCACCACACTTCTGATTGCATCAGTGGGCTGGGAACCACAATACAGTCATGCGACAAAGATAGGTGTCGCCAAAAAAGGTTTCAAGCGATGATGGTAGCGGGTTTCGTTTCTCCGGCCTCAGTAGAGTTTTCCTTTGATTTGTACTATTATGTTTCTCGTTAGATGAAGCGCGCTAGAGTCAATGAATACTTTGCAGTTGATGTGGTGGGTTTGTTTCCTCTTAAGCCGTCCACGTATGGAAGTGAGCCATTAAAACAACGTAAAATGGTTAGGGATTGCACACGAGAAACTCTGCCTCAGACCGGCAGTATTCCAGCATAACATTAAAGGTGCGTTCGGCCGAGGGGAAAAATTGAACGAATAATAATTTCCCCGATGTCATCCACGGAAATGTTCCACGCTGTCTCGTTAAGTTTTGTGCGGCTGTCAATTTTGCAATGCTCTCATGGCGCGTTGCCTATTGTGGTTCGTGCTGCCTCGCGTCGAAACCGTTTTTTTAGAACAGGCGCAAACAGGTCCCACCCCAAGTTCGTTTTTGAGATGGGGAGTATCTGACCAATCGGTAATACCTACCTTGGGTCCGTATCACGGTCTTCAGCCATAGTAACCCGGCAGTGCCACTGTTGGCTTCAGAAAACTGATATGGGGGCGTGAGTGCATGTTCGGTTTCTGCTCTATGAACACATACGATCCCTGCCGTTTGTTTTAAAGCGTTCATTGTACTTTGTCTATAGGTAAGCGTTTCCCTGGTTGTGAATGACAACGGTTAGCTGGTAAAACGCACCTGTGAACACTTGGAAGGTGTTGTGGTTTAATCATAAATGATGCACAACGATATCACTGAATGAGATGGTGTGGGTCTTGCACCATTCACAAATTTCGTCCAAAACATTTTGTTTGGGGTATTCTAGTTCTGCCAAGCTGTTTGCATTGCCAATAAACTACAGGCGCCAAAAACTGGCAACCAAGCCATCAGCCCTCAAATAGGTCCTACACCATGCCGAAACAACACTACATCAACGCAAATACTTCAACCGGATTGGGACATGCTGGTATTCATGTGAAGAAAATCAACCTTGAACTTGAAGCCGTCTGATATATGGGAAAAAGGCCTTTAAAGATTGAAGAGCATTGAAGTTGAATGGAACTTGACTATCAAATATAAAACAAAGATGTGCACGCTAGCTTCTCAGGTGTCGAAGAACGGTTTAGCTCAAGCAATGCGTTTGCGCAGTGCAGTATGGATCGCAAAGGCACTGAGACACACGGCAAGATATGTGTTCTTGAAATGCCATCAAGCGCACCAAACATTTTCGAGCAACTCTGAGAAAGTCTAAGCCGTTTGCATCAATTTTTTTAGTGAGTGTTCGGTATTTTGATTACAACGAGCGGAGATTATGGTCACTGGGGCTGGTGTTTCCGCTGCGAAATTGTGATAGAATATTGTGGAATTTATTCAGTAAGAACCATTCCATAAATATGTTCAACTAGTTTGCAATCGCACGCATACAACATTTGTCCTGTCTCTTCACAGTTGAAGCTTGTTTCTAGTAGTAGGACTTGGCCGGGTTGTAGGCGGGCTTGTAGCTGGGCTGCGGGTGGTAAGAGGGGCGGGCGTAGGCCTGGTCGTAGCGGGCCTCACCCTCGTACGTGACGTCAGCGACGTAGCCAGAGTAGGCATCAGCGACGTTGTAGGCCACCTTCTGGGTACGGCCGTCCGGGAGGACAACAGAGTAAGAGCCCTGGGTGCTGTAGCCATCACGACCCTCCTGAGCGTTGAACTGGGGCTCGTAGTCTCCGTAGCCGTGGACGTCGTAGTTAAAGTGGTACTTGGGCGGCTGATCGTAGCTCTGCTGGTGGGCCGGAGCGTAGCTGGGCTGGCGGTGAGCGGGGGCAGGGGCGTAGCTGGTCTGATGGTGGGCCGGGGCCCTGTAGCCTGGGGCGTTGTCGGCGGCGCCAACAGCCAGAAGAGCGGCGACCAAGAAGAACTGAAAGCATGCCGCATATTTCATAGCGCTGAATGCCTTTAAATATGCGTAGTTACCTCTTGTGTCTATGCGTTGCATTTATCGATAACAAACACGCCATCATGTCCTAACTGCTGAGTATTGCAGGTGATGTCTTCCTGAGCACGTATGCAGACGGCATATCAAGTCGACTGCATCATCGCTGTACTTCAGAGCTTCTGTTGCTCCTTACGATGCATTGCCGGTATAATGTGTTCTGGCATTATAGACAACAGTGATCAGGCAAGGAAGTGTTTCCATTCAGAGTATGAATAAAAACACTTCCTTTGCCTCTTCCATCAAAACACCCGTCGAAGACAATGGCTTTTGTTCCATGTACGTCCCGGAAACCTTATGACCTGTTATCTGCTCCTTCTCCAGAACACTTGCCTTCATGTTGTGCGGCAGGGTGCGTGGGATCGAGTGATGCCAACCTTGGTGGTGTCTCACCTTTTATACCGCGGCTGGTGGCTGGACAGTCGGCTCGGCTCGTGAGCATTACGTATGGAAGAGGGCGTGAGCGATGGGTGTGGCGTGTGACCCCAGCTCCGGAGACCAGGGACGCACGATATGGGTCACAGTGACCTGTGGTCACCGTGCGACACGCGGTTTATGAACAGTTGTTTATCCCAACTTAAGACGGCGATTTGGCTCGTAATCACCTTGGATAAGTGGTTTGCCGCACGTCTTCATCACGGTCTCTTGCCCGGGTGGTCAACACACACAGCTCTTGGATTTCTTTGAGCGGGTTTGCACGTTTTTGTTAGCTGCATGTCTCATTGCTGTTTTATGGCCTTAGTATTAGTCATGTAATCTGGTGCAGACAAGGTTGTGGCGAGAAGAAATAGGTAGTAACGCTGTCGTTTTTCCACGCCACACCGGGCACAAAAAACAGGATTTTCACCCCAGCCACTCAAAATTTCGTCCAAATTCGCATCCACTTAGATGTCAGGAAGCAATAGCAGGTGAGGATGTTACCTCATGCGACGTCTGAAGTCACGCCCAAAGGACACTAATCTTCTGAAGTTCACACGAGTATGTAATTTTAAGATTGAAATGACCCTAGGATTAGTAATCGGACAACTTGTTTCTGTTACAGTTTTGCGCACAACTGTTGCAGATTTCAATTTACTACGCCAAACTTTGCGGTAATCCAAGTTGATCTCTTTACCTCTGATGGTGATATTTGAAGCGCACATTTGAGCTCCGTTTCGCAAATCCAGTTTCTATACAAACTTCACCATATATACATTGCACGATCCTAAATGCACACGCTTGAGACGCAGCTTTTTCCAAAATATTAGCTCACAGCCCGGCACGCTCCCGCCCGCCAGGTATGCAGCCCGCAAAAGCCCGCTCTGCTACAATACCAGGCCGACATCAACCCGCGTTTACTTGATAATGGTAATATCCGCCGTGTCATTTCACCTGAATTTGAACCCAACCATATCGTGCCTAAAATGTCATATAATTGTCATCTCCTGCAAAACCTTGTTTCGCTGGCATCAATGATATTGTTTAGAAAAGAATGATCCAAGTACCTGGGCTATAACATTTATACTGTACTAACGAAGACCTTATGAGCAGTGATGCCAGCTACCTACTACAAATGAGAAGGTAGAGAGTGGAATTCAAAATGATTCGTCACCAAAATGCATTAGAGACTTCACTCTCCCACCCGATCTTAATAGACTACAGACCCTGTCCTCTAAAGTTGCATGCATCATCCAATGTTTGTACACTGAGAGAGTAAAATCTGCTGCATGCGTCAGGGTCCTAGGAAGTGTCCGCAGTTCATCCCATTGTGCATAAAAACAAACCCTATTCCAGCGCGCCGAAAGTGCTGCTATGTAATAACTCGTATTCAAGAACTAGACGCAGACACTTATATGTTGTTTGCCGTCCTTAACTGGATACATCATGCGACAGCACGGAAGAAACAGCATATTGCAGTTTTCAAATTTTCCACATATCCTTCTCACCACTAGGAACTCCTTCTGCACTTCCAAAAGCCTGGTCAGTTTTTTTAAATGACGCCATTTTATTTTTCACCAAATTCAAAATACGCCATTTGCAAATCACGCCATTTTCAGTTTTTAAGCTTTTTCCAGATATCTTTGCAACAGAACTTCAGAACCCATTTTTATGAGACAATTAAGCGTCTTTCCGGCGTCCTCTTGAGACGCAAAAGACGTCCTTTGCATAATACCAAGACGCATCTTCACGTGATTGAAATGTATATGGATGTAGTGCCGACGTCATTTTGGGCCGTCTTTCAGGAGCATTTGCGGTGATGCCAACCTACTTTTTACGGTCATAACTAAAAAGTTGTTACGAGGAAATGGCCAGACATGATGCCTGAAGAACTCCTTTATGCCACCACAGACGCCACACCATAAAGACCACGACAGTAAAGATATTAGCATCTATCGGCAGTCAGTACCGCAACGTGTTCCTAATACAGTAGAGAATTTCAGCATAATGTTCAGGCTGTGTCAATGCACTGTGAGCCTGGCTGTGATGTTAACAGCGTGTTGAACATGAGAGCGAGAGAGACTGCGCCCAGGCTTGGTACCAGACGTTGAACTGAACCCAATAAGTGTCAAGGTGAAATTTAGAAGCACATAGCGACTTACTGAGAAAAATGCAAGATCAAGTACAGGATGGCAATTCAAGTTGTCTGGGAAGGTCAAACCGCCTGCATAGATATTTTCAGTGTTTGATATTATTGATTCCATCCCTCAGAGATTAAAGCCACTGGGGCTGGTGCTATCGGTGCAAAGATGTCAGAGAATGCTGCGCGATATATTCAGTAACAATCATTTCATAACTACATTCGACCAGTTTTTATGTCTGCTGGAGCTCGTTTTCTAGTAGTGGGACGCAGCCGACTTGACGGCGGGCTTGTAGCTGGGCTGCGGATGGTACGAGGGACGGGCGTAAGCTTGGTCGTAGCGGGCCTCACCCTCGTACGTGACATCAGCGACGTAGCCAGAGTAGGCATCAGCGACGTTGTAGGCCACCTTCTGGGTACGGCCGTCGGGGAGGACAACAGAGTAAGAGCCCTGGGTGCTGTAGCCATCACGACCCTCCTGAGCGTTGAACTGGGGCTCGTAGTCTCCGTAGCCGTGGACGTCGTAGTTAAAGTGGTACTTGGGCGGCTGATCGTAGCTCTGCTGGTGGGCCGGAGCGTAGCTGGGCTGGCGGTGAGCGGGGGCAGGGGCGTAGCTGGTCTGATGGTGGGCCGGGGCCCTGTAGCCTGGGGCGTTGTCGGCGGCGCCAACAGCCAGAAGAGCGGCGACCAAGAAGAACTGAAAGCATGCCGCATATTTCATAGCGCTGAATGCCTTTAAATATGCGTAGTTACCTCTTGTGTCTATGCGTTGCATTTATCGATAACAAACACGCCATCATGTCCTAACTGCTGAGTATTGCAGGTGATGTCTTCCTGAGCACGTATGCAGACGGCATATCAAGTCGACTGCATCATCGCTGTACTTCAGAGCTTCTGTTGCTCCTTACGATGCATTGCCGGTATAATGTGTTCTGGCATTATAGACAACAGTGATCAGGCAAGGAAGTGTTTCCATTCAGAG